TTAATGAAACACACACACACACACACACACACACACACACACACACACACACACATATATATATATATATATATATATATATTCGTGTGTATGCATGTGTGTCTGTGTGCATGTATGTATGTATGAATGAACGTATTTATATATGTATAAAAGGTATATATTGCAATTAGTATATATATATATAGATGTAGTTGTATGGCGTGTGGGATGAGGATATACATTGACAGGTAGGCAGATATCTGAATTCAGCGTTTTAGGTTTAGATGAATATATGTCTGTGAGTGTGTGTGTGTGTGTGTGTGTGTGTGATATTAATTGACATGTGCGCGTTAAAGCATGCATAAATTTGCCTTTATCCATGCGCATGCGCCCAGCTGTGCAATCAGGCTTCGCTATGAATGAGAGTATTCATATACGACGTGTGATTTTTTTTTTTTTTCATATTGGATGCTTCAATCTCAGCTCAAACCGTCAAAACTAAATTGTTAATTTCTGGATATCCTGAGGCTTTCGCTTCCTATTTAAACTAAAATGTTTAAGCCTAATAGTATCAATATAATCATAGATATACACGAATGCACACACGTTCATGCACGCACATATACGCATTCGATAATCAGCTGTTAAATGAGATAGCCATTATTATTTTTTTTTTTTTAGTGAAATCTTTCTTGAGTGCAAATGAGATTTACAATCTTTTTTTTGTTTTTTTTAAGGCCATATCTCTTTCGGGCCGTAGGCGATTACGACAATTTACAGATTCCATTATTATATGTAAATTGCTGATCTTCTGCCATTGATAGTAAACGGGTTTACCGTTGCACTTTCATGCCTTTTAATCCAGAATTTTTCTTCGCCTAGACTGGTTGCCATCAAAGTCTAGAGATCGCATTTAACCCATATCTGTGGAGGAGAGGATACGTCCGTTTCAAAAGGTATGAATGCAAAGTGGTCGCGGTCGACAAGGTTGGATATTGTACTCGGCTCGCCGATAACTTTCTCGCAAAAAACACAGGCACCTTCATGTTAGCTCTTGGGAATTGAGACATTTTATGCATATCTCTCTCTATGTATTTGAAATATAAATTGTTTGTGTGTGTGTGTACAAACGTGCCACTTTCTTTTTTTTTTTTTTTAAATAGTAAGGTCCCTAAGTGCCTAACATTCAATAAAGCCTTAGACTACTTAGAATTTTTTTCTAAATTTTAAATATTACAATGTATTTAAAAAAATATTAGAAAAAGTGTACACGTTATATCTATCAAGTAATTCTCATAGCTATTGTATCTCGTAAAAAATATTCAGACAGAAATCGATAAAGAAATTTATCAACAGCCGCAACCATGTAAAAAAGTACTTTTCAGCGGAATGTTAACCTAAAAGTAAATATTATTTGTTTCAAATCAGATTAATTGCCTTTTAATCTGCCAATCTTCTTAAACAAAGTTTCAGAAATGTATATTTCATTTAAAAAACAAATAACGAACATTATGTTGTGTTGTCAGATCTATAAATACGGAGACTGATGGAAATTTTAGTGATTAAAAAAAATCATTCTTTGAAATAAGATTTGAAATGAAGCAATGTATGCTTATTGCCAATATTAAATTGAATCAATTAGCTTGAAGTTAAAACTAAAATAAAAGTTTCAAGAAAGATTGTACACTTTTTTAAAATGCATTTAAAACTTTAGGTATCGCTTTTCTTTTGGAGATACCAAATATAAACATTTACTTTTTCAGAATATATATGCATTTACATATAAAAATAAATGAATATATCTGAAAACAAATCGTGTATATATATATATATATATATATATATATATATATATATATATATATATATGTGTGTGTGTGTGTGTGTGTGTGTGTGTGTGTGTGTGTGTGTGTGTGTGTGTGTGTGTGTGTGTGTGTGTGTGTGAAAATATATAGAAAATAGGAAAGAACTCATTAGTGAAATAATCCAAAGTTCTTTAGTATTTTAGTTATTATTTTAAAAAAAATAGTGCTCGATACCAAAGTAGAGCATAAATATAATTATTTATTTAAAAATATGATTCCAACGGGCTACATAAGAGGTCTCTTGTTCCATTTCAAGCGAAAATTTTTTTGGGAATAACTTATTTAATAAGTTATTCCCAAAAAAAAAAAAGCGAAAGAATAACAGAACTTCTTTAATTCAATTTAATTCAAATAATTACATTGAAGTTTTCGGCTCTTGTTTTGAAACATGAGACCACTTATGCAGCGTGTTGGAATCATATTTTATAAATAATTATATATATATATATATATATATATATATATATATATATGTATGTATATATATATGTATGTGTATATATATATATATATATATATATATATATATATATATATATATATATATATATTGAATATATATATATATATTTATATGATATATATAAATATATATATATATATATATATATATATATATATATATATATATATATATATATATATATATATATGAATATATATAAATATATATATATATATATATATTATGTATATATATATATATATATATATATATATATATATATATATATATATATATATATATATATATATATATATATATATATATATCTTTATGAACCCCAAAATAACACTTTCAATGTAAAACAAAATAGCGTCTATTGCCAGGTTTTTTTTCAAAGAAAATTAGTAACATCTTCTCTCAACTTCCTTCTCCCTTTTTCTCTCTATGTTTTTTCTTCTCTACCCTTTCGATATCAATATATAACTTAAGTTAAGTTAACCGTTTAAATGTGTCAATACCTGCTAACTCACTCATGTCTTCGGTATCCCCCTCACTTCCTTACTTCGTTAATTTACATATGTTTAATACGGCCCGTCAAAAATGTGTAAATTTACTTTTCATTTTTGTTTGGAAGTAAAGTCTGATGATCCGCAGTCCTTTAAAAGGGCTGTGGTTGAAATAATGTATTACATGGAACCTTAAAATGGTCTGTTTATATATATATATATATATATATATATATATATATATATATATATATATATATATATATATATATATGTGTGTGTGTGTATATGCGTGTATATATATATATATGTATATATTTGAATATGTATATTTGTATATATGTATATGTGAGGGTGCAGTTGTGTGTGTATAATCGAATTTGCATACCTGTTAATATAAATGCCTTTTTCTGTCCAAAGATAAGCAATGAATATAATCATTTGAACATAAAAAACTAAGATATATGAAGTCATGCAAGCTGGAAAACTTTTTACTCTTTCGTTAGCAGAAACATAAAAAAAGACTTGATAATATAAAGGCAAAAGAATATTTACTAAGATAAAATTCATTAATTACCAGGGACTTTCCACGGCATCTTAAACGAAAATATTTTTTCCTCTTTTCCTTTCATAGTGTCGAACTTCATTTCTTTCTTTATTGAAGCTGAAGATGTTAATCTTTGGCTTGCAAGAAACTGACAACTATACAATCGGAATTTTTAACAAGTTCGTCTCTTTACACCTTCATGCAGTTAACATATCTGATATTAAATCTAAAGCCTAATTTTTTTGCCTAACTTGACATGTGACTCGAATAAAGTAGCCCTAACACCTCTTTTCTATGAATATAATATTACTCGAATAAATGGCCGAAGTAAAGAAAAAAAGCCATAATGGATATTCATAGGCTTATTTTAGTATTGCTCACCTAACCCAAGGTTAAAGATACATTCAAGGTAAGCATTTAATAAATGTGGTTGTTGTAAGAACACACAATAGAAAGGAGCAAGATGTTCATATTATGAGGACATGTATGACCCATAGGTTTTGGAGCTAGAATTGAAGAAGTGCGATCTACGAAGGATCCACTAGGGATTAACAAAGTAACTGTTCTGGGAAAAATGTTGCTTGAGTGAAACTTTCCTCCTCACCAAATGTATACATGGAATGGGGAACCCCACTGAAAACCTTTTATTGCTCATTCTTCCTTGCAAGTTTTATTTTTGTGTATACATTGGCGTTTTTTTCTTTGATATTTCATGTTATTTGATTGATTTGATTGTAAACTTGTTTTTTTACCCCACAACTTACATTGAGCCATATTATTTTTTAAAAACTGCGTTACTTGTCCAGGAATTTGTTACAACCTTTTACGGGCACAAAATATACCAAATTTTTGCATTCTTAATATTTAGTAAAAATTTATTTTATTTTATTTTCATAAAATTGTTTTGCTTTTATATCTCACTGAATATCTCTCGCCATTTTTTCGCTGTGCCTTGTTGTCGCTTGGTCTCCATTTTGTATTCTTCACAATCTGTTTTAACCGAACCCACAAAATATACATAATATATATTTTTAGTACTATTTTTGATAGAGTTGATATTAAAGCTATTGATACGATTCTGTTGGGCATACTTAAACATACTCTTTCCCCACAATGTTAATTATCTAAAATATTTAGGGACAATTTCCTTAATTGCAGGAAATTTGAAGGCGTCTTTCTTTCCCTTCATTTATTTTCATATATTTCCTTCTTTTATTTCTACGGCTATTCCATTAAACGGGTTCCGTTTTAAAAATCCTTATTCAAATAAGTCTATCCAAGAGAGATTCAAAATCCGAAATTCTATCTTTGGGCAATCACTCAAGGGATAAATTTGGCGAAAAAAAATTAAGCCTGTAATCAAGGCCTTTTTGCCTTCGCTGAAACTGTTTTGCGGACTAAATTAACTCCTGAAATTAAACACGTTTCTCTCTGCTACCCATATCCTCTCTCTCTCTTTTTAAATATCTAATCACTGATTTGATTGCATCCTTAAAACGTGCTCAAAGATATATTTGCAATATATTCTGTTGAAGCAAATATTGAAAAAGATTTGTTGCTTTCGATTTTATTTTGCTTTTTGTTGAGCTTTCAAGAAAAGGATATTTGTTCGAATATCTGTCTCCTCATAAAGTGAGAGGCTTACGGCCGCATAACGTTTAAACACCGGTTCCCGTACGATCACTGATATTAAGCAATGTCGAGACCGGTCAGTTACTGGATGGGTGACAGTTTGGGAATACCAGGTACTGTAAGCATGAATGTGCGTGTGGTGTGGCTTACGGCCGTATAACTTTGAAACACCGGTTATCATACGATCACCGAAGTTAAGCAAAGTTGAGGCCGGTCAGTAACTACATGGGTGAAAGACTGGGAATGCCAAGTACTGTAAGATTGGATGTGCGGGTGAAGAATTTGGAAAATTTTGTATTCACGGGACACAGATAAGAATGATATCCAAAACAAGGAATAACCTCTCTAACGATTAAATAGATGGCCTAATAGGTTCACAGTTCAGTAATTCAAATGCAACGTGCATATCGTCACCATTACGATTTAATAAGTGATCTTCCAGGAACTAGTAAATCACGTTTAGTTAGGAACGAAGACGTATTTGAGCCAGTCTTGGAGAGTATCAAAGAAGATCCGTGCGCAACAACTCCGTAGTGCTTTCGACAAATTTGGATCTGATGGATGTCACTACATCGAATTGTTCAATAAATCTCCATGTAACCGTAAAAGATGGCGCAACTGCTCATAAAAGAAAGCTAACAATGCAGATTCTCAGGTAAATTTTAGTGAAAAAAATAATTCCTCGCGGTTGCGGTATAAACAAGTCACCACATTTCCCGAATCTGACAAATCCTTTCTATGCGGTTATCTCAAAGAAAAAAGTTTATATCAACAAGCTTCAGACCCTCCAACAACTAAAGGACAATATTCAGATAGACATGAAGGCACTAGAAACTGAAACACGGATGGCTGTGTTTGAAATGCCTTAGAAACTAGTGTTATTCTTTTCCCCGATTTACAATATGATACTATGATCTTATGAATTACAGTAAAAAAATAAAGGACTTATTAAAAGTTGAAATCACTTAGTCACTTTTAGGACTGTTTCTATATATTCACTGATTTATCTCACATATGTGTCATACGTGGTACACGCTTAGGCAATCATGAATCTTTCGATACATGACTGAGGAGGCTGATTTTTTGCTGCAGTAGGTTGCCATTTTTTTCTGCGATAGACCAGTTGCCATTCAAGGCTATAGTACCCGGTTCGTCCTGCTATTTACCTATAGCTTGTAGGAGAGAATTCATTCATTTTTCAAGGGTATTAGCACGGCATTGAATGTAATAGATATGACTGGAATTCGAACTTGAATTTGAATGGTGGTGGCTTGCTATTATATAATTGGCATGGACGATTCTAGCCGTAAAAGTTAGACCTGGTGGAACCAGTATTCTGAGAATACCATGGACCGAGCATGAAAGAAATAAGGAAAACTGAACGAAAATAGAATTAATAATGACACATATATAGAATCAGAAAGAGACAATTGAAATCCCCAGGAGAGATAATGAGTAAAGTAGGTTGGGTATATTTGCCATTCACTGGGGATATTTAAGACAACACTAATAACCAGTAAATTATCTAAATAACTAGTTTACATGGATATCAGAACAGGGAGAGAAGGCTGTAAAAGACTGGCATTACGAAGAGCTACAAAAAAAGTTGTGAAGAGCAATTAAATTTCACGTCCTGAAGACGCTTGGTACATAGAAGTTTATCGTACATAAAAAAAAATGGCGGCCATGTTTAACTAATTTACATTTGCATTGGTTATATTTTCTGTAAAATGTTGCCTTTTATTACGTGTGTTACGCAATGTGGAGGCTGGGCGAAGATGGTCAGCGATTGATTTGAAAACCACGTGGGCGTGGTATTCTGACAACATCACTATCTTGGCCCAGGTTCCGCAATCTGCAACATTAGACGAATTGCTGACTATACTGGCCCAGTGCCGCATTTCTTTTAAACTTAAGTGTTAAAAATACCCAAAGGAGTCAAACACAATAATGAAGAAAATTTATTAAAAAATTGCTCTAAATACTTATAATGACGTATTTCTTTGCTCTGGTTAAACCAAGTTTGCTAGTTTCTTGTCACCAGTTAAAATAATTACGAAATATCTAATCAGTGAGGCTGTATATAAAATGACATTCTGTATAATATTGTAGTGCATATTTTTTAGCGTACATGTACATTTGATATTTAACAAGACAAACTTATAGAATATTTTGATTACTTAGTTATACTGACCCAGAGTTGCTGTCCTTACTATTGTGACCTCGTGTTAACCTTAGATTCGTAACGAAAATGGCTGCCGTATATCGATCATTTGTATGCAATATTTGCATCCAATGATTGTAATCTTGTTCCCCACTACATGCCCAGTGGCACTGGCCGTATGGTGTCTTAGATTCAATTATGTAGTTTGTTTGCCGTAGAGGGAATGTTTAATAGTCTGGTGTTGCAAAATTTGCGGGTAAGTTTTATCTTGAATCAGTGTTGGTGTTCACCATATCCCAACTGTTGGAGGACGTGAGACACGCGTAAATACCTGCCAAGAACAAAACCTAGTCAAACCTTCCATAACTGTCGGGCAAATATTGATGCAAATTCGCCTTCCATCTATGGATACACGGAAGGAGGATCAACCCAACGCTTGATAACGTATGCTAAACTTTGAGCCCAGCACGAAAGCCGGAAAAATCAATCCTATTCTACTATAAAAGACATGGCTTTAAACTTGGTCACTTCGACGTTGTGTAATGGTTAACAAGCTTGTCTTGCTAGAAAAATTACGACTGAATAGTAAGTTCGGTCTTCTCTGGGTGCCTCAGACTTTCGTCCTGAGGCTACATCTAAGAAAAGGTTAGAAACTCATTTTAGGATAATTTCGTATAGTGTAATGTTTAGCAAGCTAATCTAGCTAGATCAGTTACAACTAAATAGCGAGTTCGATCCTCACCATGGGTCCAATCCTTTCGGCAATGTGCCTTATCTAAGACACGCTTAGAAAATCACCTCATAAATTTAATCTTCATAACCTAAGTTTTTTTTCAGTGTAGGCTAATGCTTCTCAAAATAAGACTCAAATCCCCAATGAGTTAACATTTAACAAGTATTATTTAAGAAAGATTTGAAGATTTCTGTGAGAGAGTCAGGAACAGTTCTAAGACCGACCCGAAGTTCGGGGTATGATGGTAACCAATATCTTGTAGCAAAGTCTGTGATCGGAAGAATAGAGGTTTTGGGGAGCGTGGAAAAACTTCTTAATTGCTGTTATTTACAAGTCTACGTTGACCCGCGGTGGGAAAATAGCGAACCTCAAACAATAAAAAAACAACGCTAAGATTGTATAAAAATACATTATTATATAAATAAAATTACTAACAATAGAAATCTATATTTAAAAAATTACTGACAATACATATTTGTATTAGAATTACCAACAAGACATTTTACAATAAGACGAGTAACAATTCATTTTATGTGTAGTTAAAACATACAAATGCGTTGACATTTTATTTGGTTGAAGCCAAAAAATTATCTTCAAAACATTAAATTTCGTCATTAAATAACCCATAGATGGGTTGATATGCGCTAAACAAAATCAATCGAAAGCACTCAAAAACTGAACAGAATATATGGAAAAAAATCTGATTTGTTAATCTGTTCTTTTACTGATCGAGGATTTTCAGAATTGGTAACCACAGTAACTCTTGAAAAGAAACACTTAGTTCTGTTTAGAAATTGAACTTACTGTTTTCTTTCTAAACAGATTCTGTGGATAGGACGGTAATCCGAACGTTTCGTGATCTGTAATATGATGTGACACAAATAGAAGTTGAAGGTCCATCTGAGACAGGCCTGGAAACATTTCAGGGTATTAGATTACCTGAGTAACACAGGAATTTTTGGAATTCTAATCTGGAAGATAAAAAAAATGAGAAAAAAATTTCCTCTCGAACTCAGCAAAGAATGACTGATATGATCTCCATCCCAAGGAAGCGGACCTTGAAACTTGCCGGGCGTATTTGGATACAAATATTTGCCTGACGCATTAGACCAACGGACAGCTACCGATAATAATTACCGGATACTATTTTGCCGAGCATTCTCGTATGATTGGGCGGCAAGTCGCCCCCCAACACCTGTTTCAGATACCTGCTGAGTCACATTTGTAGTTCTTCAACACCCACAGAGTCAACATTTATGGGTAGCGAGCATATTATTTGCTATGATCAGCAGTTTCAACAACGCCAGTACGATGATTTGCGACCGTGTTCTGACAACGATCGACGTCCTCTGAATTGTCCCGTTTCTCAAATTAAAATCACATGACTTGGCTGAACTCGGGTAATGGTTGTCAAAGACGTTCAAAAGTCGCTATACACTGTTATCACCTCCACATAACGATAACATAAAGGGACCACTTACCTAACAGATCAAATATTGTATGATTTGAAACCGGGTCACATATTTGTCGAAGGCGAAAAGCGTTATATTGCAAATAAATTAACAGCCGCATGTATATTATCAAAAGTACGCATATACCTTTAACTGGCTACCATGGTTTCAGCCTTGCAGAATCTTCAGGCGCTTTTTTATCAGATGAACTCTAAACGCTTTATTTCTTTAAACTAATGAACGCTATATTATTATGCTTTTTAAATACACAAACGCACGAAGTTTGATATAATAGAAAGGGAGTAGGAGGATGTGAAGAAGGAAAGAGAAGGAGGAGGAAGGGAAGAAAATAAAGGGTATTATAAAAGTATCGGTGGGAGGGTAGTTGAAATGTACATTTATTTTTATGCTGCCTAATATGTGCGTAAGAGGAATTTCTTAATACGTATGCAAGGACGCAAACTTTCTGATTTCTAGTTCAAAAGGTTTACTGAATCCGGAAATATCGTTATAGCTAATTTTCCTCTTGGCAAAGGCTGCAAATATCGTGTGGCTGTTATTTAAAATAAAAATAAAGCGTCAAGAGGTCATTTGTTAAAAAACGCATGAGGATACCGTAAGGTTGTAGCCAAAGTAGCGGACTCAAGGTATCTCCTGACTTTTAAAGTTAAAAGCTCTACATGTTATTTTTATTTTATTTTTAGTTTTTTTTCACACGTGTATTGAGTTTTTCTAATACAACTGTTTCCTGTTCTGACCCTGACCATTAAAACTT